GGTCAGATGAGACCAACATTGAACTGTTTGGATGCCAGAATACACATCATGTTTGGAGGTCAAATGGCACACAAGTGTGTTCAATACTTTTTCCCTGTGCCATTCCACATTATTACAAATAACTTCATTTCTGGACATTTATGGTTTGATTTCTTTGTATGTATGGATCACTTGGGTTGTTACTGACATCTGGTGAAAATTTCATGTCATTAGCACCTCTAGTAATATATTTACTGAGAAAAGTGGTGAMGTGTTCAATACTTATTTTAACATCTGTATGTGTGTGTATATATGTTTATTTATGTGCGTATATGTATACATCTGTTTACATTTGGTTGCTGAGTGTTTGTTCTCTTCATTTGCTGATGATCAGATGTCGGGTGTGGTGTCCTGTGTGTTATTGGTGTTCATTTCACATGTTGTATCGGGTTCTCTCTTTTCAGTTCTTGTATTTCTCTTCTACTTTTTCCTTTTCTTCTTTACTATATTGTAAAAAAAAAGCCACTGATGATGCAGAACTTAAGAAACTAACATTCACTTTTGTTTTCTACTGAAGTGGCTTTAAAACAAAAAGAAAATAAAAGAAAAAAGATGCTGTCCATCTTCACATTAATTTGTTAAAGCCTGACACTTTCTGTTTTTGCCTACATATTCATTTTTTTAAAAATTATTTCAAATCACACTGCACTTTCCCTGATCAAGTAACCAAATTATTTTAAAAAGCATCAAAAATCTTATGCCGCACACCTGATTGGCATGCACCTGGGTTACCAATAGCTCAAAACAAATGTCAACAGCCAAATAGGCTCTTTGGCAATGTCAGAGGAGATTAAGCAAATATTTCATGTAATCCACAGCTCCAAATTTGGCAACATTTGAAATAGAAATGAACAGGCTTACTATTTAAGATTTACTACAAAGAAGCATTTACAACAAAGAAATAATCTACCAAAGCACTAGATTACTTACTTTTTGGGCMAAGTTTAAAATGAACAGCTTTAAAACTTTTGCACAGCCAAAAGCCTGCAGGAAGGTTTGTCAGCTTATTAAAAAAAAAAAACAATGAATCCAGCAGCCTGTTAAAACGYGCACGAGGAGCCACGTCTACAACAGCGCTGAGCATCAGTTTGGCGTGCAGCTGCAGTCCGGATAAAAACTGCACAAAAGACACACAAAGCAAAACCCACACAGAGCCGGGCAGCGCGCCTGCGTGCGCGTGGCCGTGCGCGGCGGTGTTACAGTAACCTGCCTTTGAAAACCCTTCTGCTGAGCTGGCGACTGGAGGAGAACTTTTCTACAATCCTGCACGTTTCTGCAAGAACATCAAGGCGCCGCCGGGTGTTTCTTTTCCTCCTTTTCTCGCCCTTTTCTCCTACTTTGTCATCTCCTCTCTCCCCTCCGCCTCCTGCTTCTGTCTGGATTATTCTGCAGAGGGATGAGGACCCGAATGTCGGTCCGGTCGCTGTCATGTGAGACTGTTTGGTTGTTTTTTCTCTTACCTGGTGCAAGTCGAGGAGGAAACGGCGAGCTTCTGCTGTCAGATTGAGAGGTGGAACTACTGAGGAAAGTTTTTCCTGCTTTAGCCTCCCCCCCTCACCGCCACCATATACACACACCTCCCCTGCAGACACACACACACACACACACACACACTCCCTCTCCCTCTGACTACACACATCTATCATGTACCACATCATAAAAAAAGAAAAGAGAAAAAAACATCAGCTGATCATTATCCCACCTGGACTCACCTAGCTTTCCCACATAATCATCCTTCTGTTCAAACTGCACACCTGGGCAGATTTAAAAACAGCTGGTTGAATCCATCCAGATGTTTTCAAACAAAAAAGCTGAACGTGACGTGGAGGGTTTAAAAAAATAAAGAAAAGAAAAACGGGTCATGAAGTCCTCCATCTCCCCTCCACTGCTCACACTTTACTTTGAGCAATTTTTTTTTAAATTCATGATTTTTTTCTACAGTCTGCTTTGTTATTGCATACTTTGTGTTTTTAATCACTCATATATGCAAATGATCAGTCGAGATGTCTTTTTCCTTCATTTCTTTTAGAAATGTCTGAAATCTGCTGCAGCATGCATGTTTTATTTTTGACAATATTCTGCTTTTAGCTTTTAGTTAGCATTTTAGATATTAGCTCAGTTTTGCTTTTGAAAGTTTCCAGATTTAGCTTTTTTGTTGTTGCAACATTTAGCTTTTAACCAGAGTTGTAAAGTAACTAAGTACAAATACTTTGTTACTGTACTTAAGTAGAAATTTTGGTTATCTGTACTTTACTTGAGTAATTATTTTTCATCGTACTTTTCACTTTTACACGGCAAAAAAGGTCCATCTAACCAAGTTTTAAAATCTTATATCCAGCCAAAAAGTCTTTTTG